GCCACAATGGTTCCTGAGCAGAGGTTACTCATGCAAGAAATCCCAAGGTGGAAAATTGAAAGTTGTGAGACTGAAAATGAAGTCACTCTCATCAACCCCAGACTAACAACAAAGCATCAGCAAACTCAGAAGACTGGAGCGCGATAGATAGATATATAGAGAGGCGTGAGTGTGCCTATTAGTAAGAACAATCGCAGAAGACTGTCGGATCTACAGCCTTACACAACGGACATTGTAATTTCATACAAAATTCACTTCTACAAGGATATCTGTCTAGCAGTGGTTCAAGCTTTTACAGGTACCTCTCTTTGCTACAATTATTCCTGATGGCAACGATTACTGTGCCGAAGTCTATTATAATGCCTCTCATTTTTACATTTAAAAAATTCTCCTTGCCTCAATCTTTTGGAATATGCACATGTATTCCTACTATAAAGTTACTCTATCCCCCTAATAAACATCATATTCTTGGGCAATGTCTCTGTGATTTCTGTGTATGTTAATGGGAAGACATACATGTCTAGGCTGTAGCTCTACTATGAGTACCAACCACTGGCTGGAGAAACCTAGAGAACACAGATCTTGGGCTAAAGGAATCTACAAATGATAAAGCCCTCGCTGTGACTGGTGGAACAATATGAGTGAGATTGGGGAAAGAGTGAGGCCAGGACACTTTGAGGCTTCCTGAGTAGAAAACATTCTGAAGGGTAAGAATGAGAAGCCAGTGAAGGTCTGGACCTGTAGTAAAACTAGTATTTCAGAAAAAATTATCTGCCAGAGGAGTGGAATGCCAGCCAGGAAGCCAGTTTGGATGATATTATAGTAATTCAGATGGGTCTTGCTGAGGAAATTGGGTTAGTGTGGTGGCAGTAATAAAGAATAGCAGGAAAGGAGCAGTTGTTTGAGATCATTGTAAGGAATAAAGGTGACTGCTCAGGATAAATGTGATCTATGAGTTAAAAATAACTTTAAGGATTTGCATATGGGAGAATGGGGAAATTGGTTCCATTAACTCAGAGGAAGCCCCAAATTGGTTTTATGACAAGAAAAATGGAGAGGGTTGCATTTATTGGTTCATATTTCTGAAAAGTGTTAGAGTAGATCCGGGCAGGCTCATTCAGGGACTACTAAAATGTTCCCTAGCACTGTGCTCTTCCTGCCCCTCTGCTTGGCTCCCCATGTCAGCTTCTTTCCCACCCCAAGTACAGAAATGAAATGGCTGTCAGTAAGGTCCACACTACGGTGATATCTAGCAGGCTTAACAGCAACAACAAAAGCAGCAAGGTTGACAACAAAAACAAGTTATTTTTCAAAGATGTCTAATGCAGGCTGATACATTGTATCATCTTGAGAAGTTTCAAAGTTTAACTAAGTGACTCAGTAGGGAGCCAGGGTTCTACTTTGTAAGCATTCTGAACCTGTGCGAGAGGAGGGCATGGAGATGGTGTGAGTTCTACATCTGTCCTAGGGCCAGTGTGCAGCCTGCTTACAATATAAAGGAAGGAAAAAAGGATTGTTGTTTCTTTTTTGCTCTTGTTGCTTTTGCTGTCTTCTGCCACAATAAAGTGTTGCTCCCTTCCCATGCCATGGAGTCAGCTGATTACAGACTGAAACCTCCACAAACTGTGAGCCAAATAAATCTTTCTTTCTCTAACTTTGGATGTCAAGTATTTTGTCTCAGCAATAAGAGAAAAATAACAAATGCAACGGCCAAGAAATTCTTAAAAGACCTATTTGGACCAAATGGCTAGTATTCCTAAAATAGTTATGAATTTAAGAAGCTTTTGTTGCATTCACTGACAACACATGTATCATGTGGACATTATGAATAGTTTATCTAAAATTCATGGATCAAGGGTGCAGAGAGCTGTAGTCCTCTAAAGGAATTCAGGGGAGTCACAAGAAGGAAAAGGTAGCAAGTTGCCACATACAAAGGTAAAACCAAATAGGGAGCAAGAAAATTGAGTTGGAAATTAAGAAAGGGAAGTGATTTTAGAACTGAAAGGACTGGGATGTTGGTTAAGAAATCTGTGTGTAAAGTAATGAAATATGACTTTAGGGTAGCAGATTTCGGATAGGATTTTTCTGATTCAGAATTTCTGCTGAAGGCCTAGAACAGAACACACCAGAAAATAAACACTCACATTCCAAAGAGAGAATCTAAACACAAATGGAGAACTTGCAGAAAAGAATGCTCTGTGACTTTTGTCCTGAGAAGCTCACAAGAGGGGAAACCAGATAAGCAGAGGTTAAGGTGACGAAGAACCTCCAAATTCTAGCCAATGATGTGGAGTAAGACATTTGAGAATACCTTATTCAAAGATAACTGGTGTCACCATGTGCTTAGAACTTTACCAAACCATAGAATGCCAAGACTGGGTGATGTTGGCAGGTTGTTGGGGATTTAAAAGAGGTCCCAGAGTTAGAGGGATGCATAAAACTAGCTCCTGGACCTCATATCAAAATGTGTGCATGAGACTCTGGCTGAAACTGACCTTGAATCCAGAATGGGGCTGAGGATTGGGAGGGAAAACAATTTCTTCTGGCCAAAGACACAGCACAGAAGATGGCTGGCGTGCTGGCCTCTGGACAGATGTGCCTGAGAGAACTACCTGTTACTGTGAGAGTCTTGGGGTAACAGCCTAGAACTCACAGCCAGGCCAGCCAGGGATGGTGGGGGACAGGAGAAGTGTCTGCAGTGAGTGCATTTCCTGGGTGGAGTATATTCTATTGAGACCCTTGAAAGTGGCTCTAGAACTTCTACAGATGTCCCTGAGGAGTCCACTGTCATGTAACTGTTAAACCTGAGTTTCAGAAACACTGAATACATTGCTGTTTCCCAGGAAAAGAAGATATGAACTGCTCAAGAAATTCAAGTTGTGTTCTAAACTAGGGCAGACATTTTAATACACGGAAACAATTGTTCTCCCATTTGGTTGTGATTGAAAAGCAATGAGATCTGCTCCATCCAAAGACCAAGAATGATTCACATGTGAAGGTTATGTATGAAGACACATGACAGGAGACACATGACATCATTTCCTGTGAGAATACCATGAAGCCAAGCTGCTGCATATACCTGCAGCTCTATGGTATACATTTAGGACTACACCATTTCTACATACCCAGTATCACCCTCTAGACCTGCCTCCAAATTCATATCCTTATAAATCAGCTTTCTTTCTTTCTTTCTTTCTTTCTTTCTTTCTTTCTTTCTTTCTTTCTTTCTTTCTTCCTTCCTTCCTTCCTTCTTTTTGATCCTTCAAGTCAGCCACAGCTGGCAATGGTCTCCATAAGGTGATGCCATTTTCTTGAGAGGATTTGTCTTTGATCATTGGTGTTAAAATTTCTTAGGGACTTTGAATTCAGTGTGATTATGTCTCTTTCATGGAGAACAGAGTGTGAGTGTTCAGTCCACAGCTGATCAACTGTCTTGGAAGTGGGCTCAGGAAAATATCAGAGGAACTGACCCTGGTCCCAATGATATAGGAGAATGAAACTGTCAGCCTGCTATATGACCGGTATGAATTTGTGTTCTCTAATGTCAAAGAATTGTAGGAATAATGGAGGTTAAGAGCAGAATGTGTTTATTGAGAGACAGAAAGTTTCTGTCAGGAAGAGAGACAGACAGACAGGATCCCAAGTGGGTTGCCAAAGAATCTATCTTTCTAGAGACTTCTATAGAGTAAAATCATGAACTGAGAGGTCTAAGATGGAGAAGACATGGAATCTTGCAAGGTAGTCATGGTATGGGACAAAACTATAGTCAATCAATAAGATTAATTGCACAGCTAAAATGATTAATTTGGAATGAATGGGAGGCAAGTCACATAGCAAGGAGGCATGCACAAATAGTAGTGACTCTTCCTGCAGAGGGGTTAGGACAGTGACTCTTGACTTCCTTAGGGTGATAGAGACTTATGTAGCATATCAATTCCTGATGCTTATCCTTAGGAAGTATGTGGGTGCGTTCAATGTATGTTTCATCTTGAGGCCTAACCCACAGTGGAGGTGTCAGTCTCCTGCACAGTTACAAGGAATACACAGTCCGTTTCAAGGGTCCAGCCCTGTCTGACTGCCTATAATATTTCCATCTAACTCAGTTTCCTATAACACCAAGAGTTAGCAGAAGTCTCCTACAGATCCGAGGATAGACACTGCCTAGCAGGCGGCCTGGGGTACAGCAAGAGAGGGTGAGTCCACATCAGCCTTACCTGCTGGCCCTGACTTCTATGGGAGCATTTGTTTGGGCTTCTTAGGGATCACTCTATCAGATTGCTTACTATCTGTTTTTTGATGGAATAGACATAAAACTTGTTAGAGAAATGACATTCTTTTGTTCTTCTGGGGTTCAGGGTGAGGCTGCATTTTGTAGGAGGTGAGTGCTATCGTCACAAATATCTTTGGGTATTTATCATTCACTGTTGCGAGCTGATGTTTCACAGCTTGACACCTTGGAGATAGTCTCTGTAGCATGTGACAAAAGCTGGAGGGCACTAGGCATCCTGGGCATGTGTCACTGTGTTGCAGCTCTATCGCCACAGAGGTCAGCATCCCTGTGGGACTTTTCCTCTCCTCCTCTTTTTCTCTTTCCCTGAGGGACAGGCAGACTTTTGAAAGCTTCTTCTGAACTGTAATAGGATGCGTTTTCTTAATAACAGCTTTTACTCTTTTTCTCCTGTCGTCCATCAGGCTGTCCCACTCCTATGGACCAAGGGCAGAGTGCAGGTCCGCTTAGAAGCCTTCAATGCAGGGGATTACACACTGGCTTCTCAAAGGCCCCGTTTGTTCTTGCGGGTCCCTTGGGTTTTATTCCCTCTTTGCCTCCATTCCCACCCAGCACCGGCTCAGAGCAGGGCCAACCTGGCTTCATTTCACTCTCATTCTTGCCCTCCCTTTCAACTCTTTTCTACTTTTTATGCAAAAAATGAAAGTGTGGAAAGCCGGCGTTGCCATGGTAGTAACACCGCTGCAGGCCTGCAGTGGATTTGAGCCCTGCACAGAGAAAAAAGTACTGGCCTCAAAGAAGCCTGAGGAAGAGGGAGAAAGGAACAAATGAAAACAGGGCAACTGCCTCCGAAGCGGAGGGCAGGGAAAGGCAGGGCAAAGCCTGAAAATGCATTTGCGGTGACATCACTGCCTTTCCCACAGAGGCCATTGACACAGAGGCCCGGTGCCCATTCACTACCCCAAAGCCTCTCTCCAGGCCACGGAGCCACCCCTCCGTTTCCTGAATGGCTTTTTTTGTTGGAAAACAGTGGAGCGGTTCTGAAGGCCTGCATAAATGACCGAGTAATTCATTGCTGTTGCCAGGAAGTCTGAGCCACTTGTGAGCTGACAATAGTGAACCTTATCTCCCGCCCATGTTGGAAGTTCCAGCTGCAGTCCCCGAATTCTAATCAAGGCTTTACTCCTGCCTTGGAGGTTATGGTAATATTTTATCCATTTTTTTTTCCACTAAGACAGTCACTGCTGCTATTGATCACTGGAGAGGCAAGTCCCAAGGACTGAGGTTGGTGGGCATGTTGGGGTGGTGGTGTACAAAGTCAGAGGAAGGACAGAATGTGGGTGCTGTGAGCTTGGTGGGGTTTGTCGTTTCCTATGACTCTAAACTGACCAAGGGGAAAAAAGAGAAAAATTTCACCCCGACCCACAAATCCCTGAACCAGCAAGATGACTTTAGGAAAATTTCCATGTTTTAAACACTGCTTCCCTTGTCTCCTTTTTAGCAGGAGGACTGGCAGCCAAGGCCGGTAGTGTGCTCAATGCTAGCGTGTGGCTGTTAGCTTTCTTTCTCTTATTACTGCCCATAGGCAAATGCCGGTGTGTAAGTCGTGATCAAATTATAAAGTGAAGGCTTAAATTTTTAAAAAGCATCCTGGTCACAGATACATTGCTATTAATCCCTGTCAAAATTCTCCCCCTTGACTCATGCAGATTTATCACATAGTCCTTGCCACTTTCTTTTAAACATATCTTTTAACATTTTAGTTATTTATTTTTATTAGTACATAATTGTGATATACAATTAATACATTTGTCATGGAGAGTTGGCACATACACAAACTCTATTTTAACCCTTTTCGCTGCCACTTACTAAAGCAGTTCTGCAAGTCCTCTTTCACCCTTTGTTTTCATTAGTTGCAAATACATGCTGATTGTGGCTGCAGAGTCCCAGCCAATGAAAAGGCGGTCTCATGAAAACATTATGGTGTGTCCTCCTTCACTTCATTCATCACACCTGGCCTTGTGTGATTTGGGGCTCTTCCTCAACTTCAAACATTTTGAATCAATGCAAAGTACTGAGTCAGAGACAATGAAACTAAAGTTTTCACAGAGAAAACTTCACAACCTGCTTCTGAAAGATGCAAAAATGATGGAATAAGTTGTTCAAGTGAAGGCATTTTGAGAGGGGTTAATGGTAATTTACTTAACAATCTTTCCAAATCTAAACATTCATAGTCTTTTTCAATGATACCTCATATTGTTAGCACTTTCCTATCCCAGGTCTACCAATAATTGCTTTAAAATATGGTTTTCAGCTAAGTGAAAAGTTGAATTGTTAACTCTAACTTATAGATTCTGGGAACAGACCCCCAAACAGTGCCAGGGCAAAAAAATCAAGGCCATTGGCCTCAGAAGGACAATTTCTAATGACTAGTTACAGTGATGACACACATTTTCTAAAGAGGTATTTTAAAGAACTTACAATGGGCAGGTGTGTTGATGTTTGTTCCCATGACAATTCTCAGAGGTAGGTAGTTTTCCATTTTGAATCAGCCTAAACTAATGCTTAGGAATGTACCATTTGCTCCATTGAAGAGCCTAGTTTCTCTGAACACTAAAGTCCATGTTCCTGTTTCTCATGATCTCAGCTTCTCCTGAAAGAAGAGTAAAAATAAGTGCGTAGAAAGAGAATAAGAATCTCTGGGAGGGAAGGATGATGGCATGTGCTGGATGTGTGACCTTCCTCTGTTTCCCTGAAACAAGTCAAGTAAACCTAGCAATTTACCTTCTCATGACAGAGGATGTCAAACTATGAAATCATCTGTAGGAGCAAAAATAAGCCCAACTTCAACAGTACTTCTGTCATCCAGCCCTGTATGCTCCTGGGTTAGCAAGGTTTAAGGGACTCCATGAAAAGACAGAAGATGGGGATCACTGTACAGAAGCAAAGGAAGCATCATCTGCTCAGAGAGACATCTAACAGTAGATCCTCATAGAGCCTCAGCCAAGGAATGGATTTGGATGGTGACTACACAGCCTCCAAGATGAGCTCCTTTAGGAGGAGAGTGGTGTAGATCGAGAATGGATGGAACCTGCTGGGATATGACAGTGAGAAGGAGGAAAAGGACAAGAGGGGAACCGGGGAGTCTGCAGAGGTGAAAGCAGAGCACATATACACAGCTGTTGAGGTCCTTCCTCCACCCACAACAAGAAAATCACCCAAAAGGGGACAGATGGACAGAAAGCACCCCTGAAGAAGTCTTACCCATGTGACAACAGGAGAAGGTCATACAGATCATAGGGAACCCCTGGATGAAAACAGAAAACATGGATCAACATACACAAGCAGACAAAAATTCCCTGAGAAAAAAATCAGTCAGGAAACAAGAAAATCGGAGGACAAAAGTTGGGACAAAATGAAAAGGTTCAGTCAAGCATTTTGAAGATAAAGAGATAATGCCTTTGATGAAAAATTTAAAAATTAGAATCAAGAGGAGAATGGAACAAATAGATATAAATAAGATTAATAGAATCCAGGGGAAAAAGTCAAAGACAATGAATGGATGATCCAGAAAAAGTTGAGGTTGCATTAATAAATGAAAATAATTTTAAACTAATAATAGAAAATTTAGCTAATTTAATCAATAAAAAGTGGGAGCAAAATTTTGCAAAATAAAATATGACAAGGAGTATATATACACAGGAAATGCAGAAAATTACAGGCTACTTGTGCATTTTTAGGTAAAGACTTGATGAAGTGGGTAATTTCCTAGTAAAATATAGTTTACCAAAATTTATACTGGCAGATGTAGGAAGCTTACACAAGTTCCACAGTAAAAATAGAATACATAGCAAGTACTTCTTTCCACCCAAATGTCACAGTAAACAGTGAAAGGAATTTCTACACATCTTTGGAGAATAAATAGTTCCAGCATTATACAAATTGTTTCAGAATATAGAAAATGAAGACAATATGTTCATAAATAATTCATATATCATTATAAGGGAAATTAGAAACTAATTTCATTTATTAGTAGTGAGGGAAAAATCCAAAATAACTTGACATGACTGCTTGGGGTTTTATGACAGAATTCAATGACAGTAGAATATCAGGAAATGTTACTAATAGAGTCCATCATATAATTGGATTTAAGAAGAAAATAATATTAGTATTTCCACAGATACAAAGTATAGTATTGACAAAATCCAACTCCATTCTATAGAAAATCTCTTAGAAAAATAGAACTGGAAAGGAGAAAATTATTATTTTTTTTTTTGGTACCAGGGATCGAACTCACAACCTCGTGTTTGCCAAGCAAGCACTTATGCCACTGAACTAAACCCCAGGCCAAAAATTCTTTAATACAATAATAATTAAAAAGATAGTAAATTAAGAAACTATCAAGAAAATTCCAGAATTCTGGATATTGTAATAATGTCTGTCTCAATTCCAGAATCCGTCTTAATTGAGAAACTTAGAGTTATTCATTTTACAATCAGGGGTAACATTGTCATAATCTTTACTACTATTTAAAATTGTTCTGAGAGATTGAGCAATGTAATTGGACTAGAGAAAAGAATATAAAGCAAAGAGATTGGAAGATCCATTGAATTTTTTCAGGTGACATGACAGTATGCCTGGAGAATCTTAAGAAAATTAATGGTAAAATTATTTTAATTACAAAACAATTATCAAGATACAAAATTAAAATGCAAAGTTCAGTGTTCTTTACACTCACAAATAAGCAATTAGAAGATAAAACAAAAGTCCCAATTATGGTTATAATACAACAAAAAATACATAAAAATAAACTAAAAAAGAATTGCTTAAAACCTACTCAAGAAAACCAGAGAACATCTCAGGAAGACTCAATGGAAGATAAATGTGTTTTTGATATCATCAAAATGACAACTTCCCTCAAAGTTAATTTCTAAATTCAGTGTATACTCAACACATATACACATGCAGGGAAGAAAGATGAGGAGGGGGCGGGAGCTGATACTATAGTTTACAGGTAAATATATTTATTCAGAAATTCCACTTCTAGGAATATACTCTAAAAATGTATCCAAAATAATGCAGCAAGCACATGATTATTTGCTGTGTTTGTTTATAATTGCAAAATATTGCTACTCACCTACATGTCTGTGTATAATCATTTGATTTTGTAAGTTAAACATACCACAGAGTGCAGTGCACTTAGAAGAAGGAATAGGACAGGGATCTAAGAGCTGATAAGGGATTTCTTTTGGGATGTATTGCTAAGTCAAAAAGCTAAGTGTAGGAAAGAAGAGGAGATAATGAAAGGCACAGTGTGATCATCTCTTCAAATGTTAAAGCAGCCCAGTTCAGCCAGACACCAATCAGGATTGCCACCTCTGTGAAGAAGGACAGATAGAAAAGATATAGGAAGCAAGTAACTTTTGTACAATAGAGATTTGGTACTGTGTCTCCGTTCCAAATACTCCAACAAGTTATAATAAGGATCTGAGGAAATAGTACTGAAAGGAAACTAACAAATGAATGTGAGTGTATTAAGGGAAATAAGATAGCCACTTTGGAGTGGGGAAGGAGGTATTCAGGTAGTGCAGTAACAGAGGTAGTTGACTATGTGCTCTTGGCCTTGGGCCCGGACAGGAAAAGCACTGATCACAGATGCTCAATTCTTTTCAATTGGTTACGTTTGTATTATGGAAGGTAGAGGTCAATTCTGAAAGTGTTTCACACCTAAAACATGACTGACAGAGTAAAGAATTTAATTGATTCTGGAAACGGTTTGTCTTACTGTTAAGAATGAAAAATGCATAAATATGTTCTATAATACATCATGTGAAGAATACAGTCTATCTATCTATCTATCTATCTATCTATCTATCTATCTATCATCTATCTAGTGATGTCTTGCTACTACAGGAATTCAGAAAAATTAGAAATTTATTTAAGTCTCTTGCCCCAAAATAGATCAGCCTTATAAATGTCTCTATCTGCTGCCTTAAAGAGTGCATCAATTCCATCAATTCTACTGAGCCTGATTCACATTTGAGTTGAGTCTTGGTGTCATTTTTAGAATCTTCGAATTCTAGAAGTGAATTTTCTGTCTCTTTTCTAAAATGTTGGAAAGGATTACCTGTTTCTGAAAAGCAAATATTGAGCAGTGCCTCATGTCACTGGAAAGTCACTGGACATATAAAAAAAGGGTAGCTGCCTTTTTCCAGTATCATAGAAACCTGGGCAGTGGAGAGGTCTCACCAGGAAGTCCATGCCTTCACTCCTGGTGCACAGCTGTGGGTCTCTACATGGAGAAAAGATCTCCATAATTGAAATGGTCATGTTTTAAGAGAAGTTCTTTCAGTATGACTATGAATTGAGCAAGAAGCATCTTCCTGAATAGTTAAATCATTCCACAAATTCATATTAATGAAAAATTCTGAACACATAACTGAACACAGAATTTGCAAGAGTTGTCACTATTTGAAACCAAAGAGGTACTCGACTTCAACATTCCTCTAAAATAAGAAATACAGTCTGACTTATTTCCCTCTTATAAAAGTAGACTAGTGATTAATGACCAAAATAAGAGACAATACCTTTTTTGTGTCCTCCCCAATGACCTCATAATACCTGCTATATCTCACCATATTTTAAGGGTTTGTGTGAAACTGCACATTGGTGTTTATGGCTTGTGGCCAGCAATATGGAGCAAGTGATTGGCTTACATGACTGCCAAACATTATCTGATCCAAAATCAAGAGCCGATTAGCTCTTTCTGCTGAATCCCAATTCCTAAATTGGAGTTCTTGTTTAGCCTAGAGATCTAAATGATTTTTAGTACTAAAATCCTAGCAATGCTTACAGAATAGTTTACAGAAGGTTTCCTGCAGTGTATGCAAGGTAAGTACAGCAGTGACCGTGTCACAGTTCCTCAAAATATGGGGACAATTTGTTAACTTTTAAATCTGATGTAGATCATCACATTTGTCTTGGAGCCCACATACAGAGATATGAACGGGTACATTTATACTTACTCAACAGCAAGGGAGAAGGTTCTTTAGAGTAGAATGGAGAAATCTGCTGAAATTTTTAATTTTGGTCAAGAAACAATCTCACCATGTAGCTCTTATGAGAGACATTATGGAAGGGAAAAAGCCCTCGGAAAGTCACAGGCTGTGTCCAAAAGGTGCTTTAACACTGTTCTTGTCTTCTTGCTTTATCCTTCCTTTATTCTCCTGGGATGTCTTAGGGCTTTGTCTGCTGTTACCAAAGTTTTTCTTTCTTTTAAACTCCTTTTCTCCATCTACTTTCGAGATTTTCTATCTTTCTAGATTTTTAAAAATTTATTTAGCTTTATTGACTTTTTCCTTTTGTTGTTTAACTTTCTGCTTTGGAATCTAGTCGTACAAACTGAGTTCTTAATAATACTCATGCTAGTAACAAAAAGTTCCGCATATTTGATTTTGCTTTATTCCTGAGAAACATCCTTTTCCAAAATTACTGATCCTATGAAATTGCAAAACTGGAATCTGTGGAACACACAAACCTACACAGTATGTATATGTTTAATCTCATGTAGTATAATAGATAATAATGTACATTCACCATAAAATGGCAAACGGATATTTTTTGAAGGATGAATATAAATCATCGAAAAGATGTGGGGTGTCATAAATTCCATGTGGGATACTTAGGAGATAATAGAGATGGGCTGTATGAAGTGAGGTACAGAAGGAACGTGAATGAAGTAATTAGAGGAAAACTACACATTATTTTAATTGACAGAAACTGAAATGAGCAAAGCCTAAAAATATTTGCTCTTCTGTGATCATGACATAGTTAAATCTAGAGCTTCAGTGCTAGAGCTGGCCTTGAGCTCTTAATAGTTCTACAGCGTTTACAAGCATGGGTTCCTCTTAGATTCAGCCATTCATATACGTTCAGTGTCCCTGCTGATAGTCGGAAAGGGGAGCTTGGTTGAGGCATCTATTTCCTATCAACTTCTAAGCCCAGTGCTGAGCCTCCCTGCTGAGTCTGGTGGCTCTTTACCTTTTAGGAATCTTTTCTGGACAGTCTTCCTCAGGACTCCTGCATACTTCCTGCTCCCTGGACAGAAAACACTCAAAGGAACAGTGCTGGTCCTTACGGGGCTGCTGTTTCCTCCCAGACCACTAAGCACTCTTTCCCATGGCAGATACTGAAGAAAATATGAGCCCAACCAAACAAAAACTACCCAGTGGTCACACACATGTATGGGGTAAGGGGATTGGGGAATTTAAATTCACACAATTTTAATGACCAAAGAATGAACACTTGAAACGATTGAGCTAGAATCAGTCTGCTTCAGAGGACAATCCAATGTAAGAGTATAGGTTGTTTCTGTAATTTGACCCAGTGACTCTGGACAAGTTAAATTTTCTAAATCCCAGATGCCTCATGTATTTAATGGTGATATCTTAATGGCTGTCAAAGAGATTAAGTGAGATGACTCATATTAAAAGCTCCACTCAGTGGTTGGCACACAGCAAAATGCTTATCATCCAAAATAGTCATTAATAATTATCCTGCTTTGCCTACAAGAAATGATGATGCTTTAAGGATATAAAAGATTCATGCCGAGTGTCTCAAGGGCCATGGTATTTCAGGAAACTCTCTGGAGAGAATTGTAGAGAGCAGACTCCTTGTTGAGCTATTGATCTACACAGTACACCAGGGAATGCAGTGGGTTGTATCAATAACTGATTCAACTTGACATATTTTTAGTGTCTTCAATGTAGAGTCGTGTGCTGTTCTGGTAAAATTGGTTAAGAGCTTTTTTTCCTTTCCTACTAAAAGAAATTCTATACTTTTCTACAACAAAAACTTTTGGATTGTGTTGCAGGTTTCAATTCTAATCTAGGTTGTTTGGAATGTGTAGACAGAGCCTCAAAAGTTATCAAATAAATGAAAAAGAAGACAGATAGCTTAGGATGGGGAGCAATGTCATGTCTAACACCTTTGACAGTAGTGCTAATCTTACATCCAACCCTAAAGGAATATGTATGGACTCACTTGGGAGATGTAGCTGTGAATTTCTAAGTGCCAGTGGAACTGCTTGGAAGGTCAGGGGTGTCTGCAAGTGCATGCAGTATAGCAAGAAAGATTCATGGACCCTTATCTTCAATTGTGTTCGCACTGTCAAAAATACCAGCATCCAGGACAGCTGGCACAAAACCAGACCCCTGACATCACTGTTGACTGTGAAGAACACCACGCACATATGGAATGAAAGGCACCACTTCCCGGGCCATCTACTATTCCTCTGTAGCCATTCAGATGCCGATGACATCTAATGTTAAATAATAACAATGATGAATGGAAGTTGTGACGTTTCTTTCTGGCTTCTGATTTGTTCTCTTCCTTCCTTACCTTTTGTCTCCTTCATTTTAAAGCTTGAAAGGACAGGCAGATAGGAAAGGTGCAGGAGAGGCCCATGAGGTGGCCCGCATGAGTCACAACTGAGGCGTGTGAGGGCGTACCAACTGACCGCATGAAGGAGGCTTCCAGGTACTGCAGAAAGCTCCATTCAGATGAATACAGAGTGTAGAAAGAAAGCTGCCCCTGGGTAAAAGAAGCACAAACAGAATGAGAAAGTGGTGCTTCTCAGACTCACAGGGAGACCTCTGCAGGAAAGCTGGGAAACATAGTACGCATGAAAGGAAAGCAGGGAAAAGGATTTTGGCCAGAGCAATACAAAACAATTAAGCGTGAAAAGACTAAAAGCAGGAGCACAGGGCAGGTTTTGCTGAGGGCAGTGTTGGTCCAGGAATGTGAAACAATCCACACAGGGACCTGGGAGCAGGGCCCAGAGCCCAGGAGCCTGGAAATCAGCAATTTCGGGGCTTTCATTCAGTCCCAGCTTATCTCTTAATTCTCCAACAACAGAACTTAATTTTTAATCTCTGTGTTTTATTGTCTCTCGGGAATGAGTACTTTCTTCTACATTGAATTCTTGTTTTAAAATAATTTGTTATTTGTTAAAGTGAGGTGGTCAATGTGCCCCAAAATTGGGCAACATGATTAGCCTTATTTGAGAGAGAGTATTATGAACGGTGGGCATGATATTTGTGGATTCTGAGGCTCCCTTTTCTTATATTCCCCTCTTTAACCACGCATCAGACAATATTACAAAGTTTAACCATGCATCAGACAACATTACAAAGTGTGGGCAAAACATATAGGGAAAATGTATTACTATTAAAGACATATGGCCATTAATTCCCATCAAAATATTGCCTCTTGGTTCAAACACACTTACCCTGTCATACTGAATATTTTTGAAGCAAATCTGGAAATCCTTTATCTGAGTCTCTTCAGTTGTGCTGTTGTGGCTGCCTCCATGTCATGAACTGAATCAAAATGTTCGCCTTTTGTGGTCATTTGGACTTTGGAGAAGAGGCAGAAGTTACCAGCGATGTTGAATAAGTCCGAGGAGAATACACTGTGATGTTTTTATGAGCCTGGTTTTCTGTTGGATGACAGCTGACAGCAGTGTTTACCATATGTGTCTTCCTTTTTTGATCTCTTTCAATCTTTTTTTTACTAGTGTGCATTTGCTGTAAATAATGATTCATCAGAGGGATTATTATCTGTACATAGTACGTCTTAATTCTATAGTAAATCTTTCTCTTTTCTTTTTTCAAAATGCGATTGACAGAGACAGAAAGAAATGGTTGATAATTTTCTTATTCTCTCTCCCTCTTCCTGTGACTGTTTTTCTCTGAAAACCACAATGGAAAAAATTAGAGAAGATTAAGTGTGTGGCGCTTCCTCTAAAGACAGACTCCCTATTAGTGGTAGCACTGTAGGAAGCAGACAAGTGGTAAAGTAAATAAATAAATAAAACCAAGCCAAACATCTCATTTTTCACTTTCCTGTTTTGCTCCCTTCTTGATTCTCTGTACCAGTGTTTGCTATGACTATGGTTCTTAAAACTCTATTCTAGTTGCCTGTAAACTGATAATCTATCAGGGAAAACACTTTGAAAATGAAAGCATGATTTTCCTCTTGCAAAAGTATTTCACTGTTGTCTCATTTCTCAGCTCCCTAGTCCTTTGCTTCAGCTATGGGCTCGGCTCTCTTCTCAGATGATTTGTCTGTATTAACAGAGGGTTGTATTGAAGAAGCTGATTTTGCTGATCTACCAAATATCGTCACAAATAAAACACATATGTCACTCCAACTTTGTCTTGTCAGTCAGACACATGGGACAGAGTTTGCCTGAGGGGACAAAGCCTTGGAAGCCAGGGGGTTAAACTCATTTTTAATTTGCCCACAGATGGATGCACCCAGTTTTTCTTTTATCTGAGAAGCCTACATCCATACGACTGCAATAACAAATATTCAGGAAGCTGCATTCACTGTGAAATTTAACAAAGGGAATTAGCCACAGTACGTGAACAGTAACTTTAAATAGCAGAAGTGACAAAAAGAGCTGTGGCTGATAAAAGAAAACCAGTAATTACCATATTAGTACCCTTTCCACATTAAGTTTCTAAACTATATTAAAAGGTTGCTCCCAATTCTACCCTTTCTTTCTCCTATCAAAATACAGCAAAATAAAAATATAATAGAGAAAAATTGCTTTTCTGAATCATTTGTACAAAACAGCAAATCAGTATAGACTAACGCAATTACTAATTATAAAAATTAGCTTGAAAATATTTTTTAAATATCTGAAAATATTTTTATGGGGACCTTTTACTGAGTTAGCCTTGAGAGAGAAAGAATAACAAATCTCATTTATTTTTTGTCTTAGCCTTCATCCAGGAGGAATGGACTATAGCTTTTTCTCTTTAATATTTAATCTAAATTTTATTAATTTTTTTGAAATGAAAAGATAATGAGTCTAATTTATGCTCCCCTCAAGGAATGCTCTAAAGCTTTGCTTGTGTGATATAAGGCTCACATAAAGGGTTGTATTATCTTAAACTCTCTTTATTATCATTTTAGTTTGGCTGTATTTTTCTTTATAAGCTCTAAAAAGCATTGATCGGAAACTAGTACTTACACTGAAACTACCCTGCAGTGCAAGCATGCTGTAGAAGGAAAAGCTGAAAAATAGAAGAGCTGGCTTCATTTTACTTCTAACCACCCAGCGGTAGAGAAAGTGGCAGGGACACCCCAAGAATGCTTTTCCACTGGGGCCTTGATGATTCAGTGCACTGAGTTCTCAGTACTACTATACTTCACTTGTTCACCTGCTGAACTGTTCTCATTCTTAGCTAAACTTGTTATAAAGGCCAAGCATCATCATTTAAGTATCCTGGTTCAGGTGGAGTGAAAACTGATGGAAAACTAGGAATGTTTAGAAAATTAATCTCTTACAGGAGACATGTAGATCTACCAGCTTTTGAGTCTATCAAGTGGAGATAAAGTAGACTTTAGCTGCATAATTCTGCCCTTCTGCATAAGGGCAGAACTTAGATCAAAAGGTGGAAGTTGCATAAAGTTTCAGGACAAACTATTACCATCCAGTGTAAGAATGTTATTGCAAATGCTGGTATCTTCTCAGAAAAGGAAATAGGTTTCCTGTGAAGTAGGAAAAGTTTGGTTCCTAACAAAGTTCCAAAGACATGGATTGGTGGTAGCTTGTCTGTGATGCTACTGTAAAAGGCTATGCATGGGTCAACCCCACACTAGATGATCACCTGGCAGAGATGCTATCTGTTCACTGAAGTGCAGCCTCTTCCAACCATGGTAAAAAGTAGTCACTGAAAATTGGAACCTTGCCTGGAACTCCACTTCTCAGTCTTCTTTGTGTATACCTGGAGTTGCTGACTATCTCTGACTGTAAAGATATTGAACAGGAACAATGTCTTTCCTGTGCCACAGTAGTTAGGAGGTTTTCTTTATCTGTAGCCTTCCTTTCTGTATCTGTGCTTCAGAAGTTGAGGTATCTGAAGCCCTCAGAGAGGATGCTCCCCTGAAAAGGAAGGTGAGTCAGACCTTGAAAGCTTCCTACACACCAAGAACACACGCACTGAATGGACACACAAGCCAGCATTAAACCAATATAACTTCAGCCTCTATTTCATTTCTACAATGGCCAGCATTACCGATCTAAGACTATATTAGCCAAACCTGTTTCAAAATATAAAAATATTGTTGGTCTAAATACCCATGGGTTATTTTTATGATTTATGTGTTTCATAGGAATTCTAGAAACTTCTGTATTCAGACAGTGATTTCCTCTAGGGCAAATGGTTCTGAATCTGTTCTGCTTCACCTCCTCATTAAGAGTATTTGTTCCTGGCACTTTAGTCAAACCTTCTCAAACACTTAACAGAAGGTGCAACTTCACGTGACTAATTCTATACTTCATTTGCTTTTGGAACTGTTTATATGGTAGCTGTCGTTCTTGGGAAGTGCTGGGGACATTCAATCAGGGACTATTTTGAGAGATAAGGTAATAATCAACTTAATGAATGCTAAAAGGAACTGAGATGTAATTTCTTTGTTATACTACACATATATTAACCAGAAGCCAGAATCTAGAGCTTTCCCTAAACAATGGCTCAGAGTATTTGCCCTATCTGACTTCCCAAGGCACCCACAGACATGGTCTGTAAAACTGGATTTCTCCTGTGCACATATCATTCATTTAAGAACACTTACTTTCCATGTAACGTGGAGGCCAGAAACATGATTGCAACCAAAATAGAATTGATAGTGAAGATATATAACCTTGGCAAAGTATTCGCATCACTTTGCTCCGTAGTCATTAAGTATTAATGTACTAAAGTTGTTTAGGTTGAAAATATTGGGCCATCTTTTTTAGACAGAGGCCTGAGGCAACAAAAGGTTAATCCTTTGTCAGTGACCATGTCAATCTATGACAAAACTCAGTTCAGAAGTGGACGTGTTTATTTCCCGCGCTGAGCTCAGTTGGACTCAGAGAATGTTAGTGCTAAAAGATCAAGCCTTCATCTCAAGCCAAATTCCTACAGAGGGAGGGGAAGCGACGGACAGCCAGCTTGTTTTTCTGTTGTGTGCTTAGTCTAATCCGTACATACACAGAGATCCATATTTAGAACATGGTTGTGAAGAGAGTTTTGCATCCAAAGTAGCTTATGCTCTTTAATAGAAAAATAATGAGCACGAGCAGGGACATTTATCCCACGTTATGATCAAGGGCTTTCATTCTCTTTGCTGCCACAAATCTGTGAGGAAAGAATCTGCCTACTCTGGAAATTGACACTGTCTGTCAAGGACACAAAGTGTTTGCATTTGTCTGTGAGAGGGGGCAGTCCTATTGGCAGACAGAAGTATAACTCATTTGGGGCCTTGATGGGTCAATACTGTCAATGTGGTTTTGAGTTTACATTCAGCTTTTCTTTGACCAAAGAGATGGCTATACTGTATAATTAAGGCTTGGAAAATAGAGGCAGTACCTTTCCTTAGATAAAGGATGACTGGGGGTAGTAGCAAAAGGAGCTAAATGGGGTGACCTCATGGTTCTTCTCTCCTGCTGGCATAAGGCCAGAAGGTGGCTCCGAGCTGGACTGCTTGCTTCTCTAGCCATATGTACTGCTAACTCAAAATGAGTGTAATTCAAAGGCTCCGTGTATTCAGCGTAGCCTGCCTCTTAGAAGAGCCCAGGAATTCTGAGTTGGTGGCCTTGAGAGTCCATATATGACTTATTGTCAGGCTCCAGTTCACTAGCTGTTCTGATGGCACACCATAGCTGCCACCTGAACAGCAGCCCTGATGACATGCAGCCTGAGTCTGTGTCTCTGAGTCTGTGTCGTTAGTGTTTGGATATGTGTCTCTGTGTGACTGCCTACAGCTGAGGCTGCAGGTCCCTGTAAGAGCCAGAGCACTGTGGAAAGATCTCTCTCCTCTATATTAAGATGATGCCAACGTGGTTCCCAGGCATGTAAATGTGTGAACGTGTAATGTAACTGTTGTAACAGTGGTTCCTGATTTTCTCCTCAACTCTGGTGACCTGAGTACTTGTGGACACCCATTCCCCTGGTGCCCCCTAGTGGCCTGTGACCCCCCACCAGATCTGGTTTCTTGTTCCATGGTGTGTGCCTGAGGATCCCAGACAAACTCATTTTTCAGAACTCGTCATATTCTGGGGGCCTTGGAAATGCCCCTGACAGGCATCAGTGTCTTTTGTTTTGAGGTGCAGCACCCCAAAGGACCAAGGTTCTGGGTGATCTGGAGGAAATACTTTGCAATTCTTTGCATTTCTGCCAGGGACCTCACTGGGCTGCCTGTTATAGTTGCTTGGCCTGGAGGGAAGCCAGGAAGCTAGCTGGAGGGGAGCAGGCCCAGTCTCCCGCAACAGGTTCCTTCCAGCCCCCGATCCATCCACTTCTGCTGTGTGACATCAGCTCGACATCTCAGAGATTGTTTCAATACATTCGAATCATAGCTCTCAAACAACCATAAGAAACCCACTGGCACCATTAAAATTAACCAAAAACAACCACCATCACCTTTCCAAAACCGAGCTAGGAATATGAGAGTTCTGGAACCCTTCTTGTGCTGAGAATTAAAATTTTCTTAATTGTACTTTTCCTCTTGAATTCTATTCTTATTATCAAGAAACAGAGATTTCCTTATGCATGTAAGATATGACTCAAGGAATCTTTGTTATGTCTGTAACAAGGACATGAGAAAGAGCAGTTTGGGGGGAATAAATGTGAGGGTTCTTCTTTCAGTCTTGACCTAGAGTCAGGATCCATGGTTTCCTGGACCACTGTGTGGTCTGCAGCATGTCCACAGTCATCTGTCCCAGACTGTCTTCACTTGCAAAATTTTCCTAGCTGGGAGCAGATGGGCGCCTTGACTAAGATAATGCTTGAAACTTCTGTGAACCCTACCCAAGAGATGGTAAGTGGATCAATGCATACTTACCTAGCATGGATGAGGCCCTGAGTTCGATTCCCAGCATAGCTACAATAATAGGTAGATAAATAACATATAAAAATAGTTCTATAAAAATAAATAAAAGAATACCACTTGATATTTCTCAGTGTGAGTTGGTATGATTAATGTTAAGAAAGCATACAAGACACTCTCCTGTGACCTTTAGTTTTGGCACATTTATGCTTCAGGATTTTGCCAAAGCTGCACTATTTGGGTTTCCGAAACTTAGGAAAAGGCAGTGCTGTTTTGCCGAGTCCTTACGGCCAAGTGCCTGCCCTCGGTGTGTTCATGGCTGATGCAACTGTTGGAAATCAGAGGCTCAGGCACTGGATGCCTATGGAGTGGCGTCAAGGAGGTGTGTTATTTGTAGATGGCTGATTCAATTCTGACCAGCGTGATCTCAGGAGGCTTTTAAGTGGCCAGTGCGAGATGTGAAGCCCAGTTCCTAGAGGACAGGTGTCCACCCGAGAATGTTGGTGCTGGTTTTGGAAAGTGTTGCGGAGAGACCAAGCCTTAGATTAACCAAGGACCTGAAGATTTCACCCCCAGGGCAGGGCCCAGTATGCAGGAAGTGGTCTCAGAATTGAAAGGCAGGAACTGGCTATGAATTGCTGGCTAGAACAAACACAGGTTGATGGTTTCTAAAGCTTGTTAATCTCTGATATTTCACAAAAGTTAAATGTAGTTGTGAAAGAATGGGAAATACATGTTTAAATGAAACTATGACATTGACTTTGGCACCTGTGATGCCATGTTGAACATTCAGCTTGCCCTTCTAAAAGGAGCCTGTGCCCGTAAAGTTATAAACAGGATGTATTTCAATAGGGGCGCATCAATTTTCCTGAGTTCCTCAGCTCAAGGACCGATGAAGGCTGTGTGCTCCCTCTTTCTTTTGCCTATTCTGTGCATTTGCCTTTGGCTCCACCCTTTACTTCTGAAGGCTCAGGATTTCAGACTTTACCCAATGCATAAATACACTGACTTGTCTCTTTCAAGGAGACTATTGTACAGAGAAGTCAGACTTGGAGGAAATTGTTGCTAAATTTGTCTGAGGGGGAAGAGCATCTTGTCTAGTTGATAGGAGGTGGAATGTTATAGTTGTTTCCTAAAAGACTCTTGTCATCCTTGTACCTTTGTTCAAAGGAAGAAATTCATAAAAAGGAATGAGAAATATTCCAGTGACTATTTTCTTCTCCACTGCTGATGCTGACATGGATCCAAATATATTTAAAGGTAAGCCAGTTTGGGGTCAGGGCTGTGAGTTGCAAAGCATTGAGAATAATTCCTACCAACAGAGACTGGGCTACAAAAGCACAAAACCTAAGGATGTCAATGAGAATTTCCAAGTTGACCTGTGTCCTCCACAGATGATCAGTGTACTTGGACTGCCCTGCTGCCCCTCATCCCATACCTCTCAGCCCAGCAAGGCGCTATTCTTCCTGAAGAAGGATTTCCTGCTTGCTGCCTGGCAGGGCTGCTGGCACACTCGTTTTCTCTGACTTCTGTTTTGGGAGATTGTTGTCCTTGTGATTGTTGCTAGTTTGGCACACTGCTAGAGATGGGGCGCCCAAGAACTGTGGTGCTTCTTAGTCATTGTGTCTCCCAAATAAGGCCCTGTGGCTACTGAAACACCTCATGAAAAGAGCACTAAAATTTGCGATGTGACATAAATAACCAGAGAGGAGCCAGCCAGGAAGCTGTGTTAATCATGGCTTTGATGTCGCATGAGATCCTGGATTGTTAGGGCCTCGTGCTTCCGAGAGCCTCTCTGGACTCAGCCAACACTGCGTGGCAGAGGGCTAAATCCCATTTCCCACTCTTCTCCTGGAGTGGTGACAGCTGTCTGCCCTTGATTCAGAGGAAAGCCATTTCTGTGGCTCTGTCCTGGCTGAACTCTGGAGCCTTTTGTGTCCTCTCTGCCCAGAGGCACAGGCTGAGACCGCCTGGCTTTCCCCAGGTTCTTGTGTTCTGGCCCATTGGCAAATGGGTAACATCCTATTTTTAATCTCAGCTAACCTACACTCTAGTTGGCCATGTTGGGAAATGGGAAGTTTACCCTGACTTGTGTAACAAGGAGCAGGAGGAACATGACCCCCTTGTCTAGCAGAGCTCACAGGAGGAAGGCATTATCATCATTAGGGCACACTGGCATCACCTCCAGAATGACGGTCCACTTAGAAGCACAAGATTCTATCCTGAATTGCAACTACTCAATCTGAAAGTTCATAGGCTTGTTAAGAGCCCACCTTCCTCGATCCTACGGCTACGTGGACATTATCACAGAGCATGGAAAATGCCAGCGACTGCCTCCTCTTCCTAGTGACTGGGAAACCACTCCCCAGTATGACCTCAGGACTGCCCTCTCCAAGTTCCACTGTTGACCTGGCTCTAGCTCTCAGCTCCTGGGTGCAGCAGCGCCCTCTTGTGGTCAGAACAGCTTTGAGAGACTACTCTTCGCAGAAGAATTTAAAACTTAAATGTTTTAAATATTTACCCAATTTTGTATATTTCTTTAATATCTTGAGTGAAAAGTGTTAGTTATGAGTTTGAAAATATGAGAGAGAAACATGAGGTAGTTTGTCCCCCACTGTTATCATTATCATGATTACTATATTAAAATACCAATGGGCCAATGCTAGAATCTTGACTAAATTTTCTTACGACATCCTTTTGCATTGTTTGGTCAATGTTTAGAAAACATTACAAGCTTCCCTATAGATAAAATTTAAAGGCTGAGCCTTATGTAAACTAGGTATTAAGCTTTAGACTCTTATATGTTCTTCATAAATTTAGGTCCCCCTCTCCCATCAATATCTTCTGTCCATGTCACAAGAAGGTCCTTGCCACCTCAGTCTTTCCTGGAAGCTTCTGCTCTTTAAATCTTCTGGAGTTTGCAATTTATGCTCTTTTGCCTTTTTTATATTTACAAACAACTTCTCCGTGGTTCTCCAGTAGACTGTCCTTCCCGAACATGTTCTCCTTGGAATACAGTAATGGTGATTACAGTGCCACTGTGACTGCGTGTGACCCTTCACTACCCATCAGGCACCAGCTCAGCTCTCCATGTGTGGCAGAGTGGAGTCCTCACAAGAATGTAATAACATTCACTTTACAACATTACTCCTGTGATTGGTTGCAGCAGCATACGATTAAAGCTGAAAGAGGGGATGAGGCTGTCCTGAGTGTGGGCAGTGAGAGGAGGCCAAAGTGACCTGAAGACATGGCCTGAGCAGAACGTATGTCTCACCCTGGCCACACACAAACATGCAGATGCACCCATGATGATTGTGAACTGAGTACACTTTTCACATGCTCTTTTTGGGAAGTCAGTGATCCTCATGCACAGGAAATTGCTGCCTCTGAATAGCAAGGAACCCACCCAAATGCAGTAGCTTCCACAAACAGACTTTGGTTGACTGTTGCACTAGACAGGGTTGTGGTGTGCTCTGCCCAGGATCCTGCTCTCAGTCCCACAGCATAGACTTGGACATCCTTCTGCTCACCTTGTAGCTATTGGAGAACAAAGGTTCAAGTCAGAAACTCCCACAGGGCAGACAATATTGTGAGGGAAGAGCAGAAAATGGATCTTCCATGCAGTAGGCAGGACTTGTCCAGAGTTTTAAGAAAGAGCTTTCCCTGGTCCCAATGCTTCATGTCACATGGTCAAGTGATTGTCAAGCGTGGTCTCCATCAACTGTGGAACCAGGCAGAAGTCACTGACCCAAGGAACAGAGATTTATTTATTACACTAAGGTTTGTCACTGACAGGTATGTAATATATGATATTATAGGACTAGTGTTTATTTAAAATCTGAGCTGGATGTGAGTACATACACCAGTCATCCCAGGACTCTGGGAGGTTAAAGCCCAGACTGGGTAATTCAGGAAACCTGCAAGATCCTGGCTGAAAAGAAAAAAAGAAAAGGATGGAGATGTATGTTAGTGGGAAGGCATTAGGTTCAATCCCCAGGTGTGAATAAAATATAGAAATAACCTAACACATTCTTCAGGGAAGCTCATACATTTACCAGTTTATCTGGTGTCAACTTTAAGGCATATCAAACTCCTGCTTCTCGCATCCTTAAATTTCAAGATCTATCTTGGGCTTCCTCTTGCACATTGTGTGACCCATCTGAACTTTTTGTGCCCAGATGCCCCCTCTTGGTAGAGGCACCTTAGATTTTTGCAACACATCTTTAATTGGAATCATTATGTGCTTTCCTCCCACAAAAAGTGTGAGGTCTGGGGTGTGGGACCATATAGAGGTACTCAGTATCCGCAAGGCAACTTGTCCTCTCTGAATGAAGGAAGGAGGGAGCAGTTTGGGAAGCAGGAGGAGGGTGGCCTCTGACTTAGTCATGCCTACTCTGCTGCCCCTGGCTGTGGACCTGTGTCTGTCTCTCCAAATGTGTAGAAATTGGGAGATGATAATGGCCCCCATACCTTGTTCTCGCCACCACAGCAAAGGGCTGGACATTTCTGTCCTAACAATTCTAGTAGGTATGGGCTTGAGATCAGGGTGTGGATAGCACTGGGTGCTCACAAAGTCTCTCTGTTTGGACTATGTCTCTTTATGTTGTGGATCTTTTGTCCACATTTATGCTCAGAATACCAGTCAGACTGGAAGACACGCTCCATGACCTCAGCCAGCCATAGCTGTGGTGAGCATTTAAATTTTAAAAAGTACTTTACAATAAGAAGCACAATTCCATTAATTCCCCTCAAAATACTACCCTTCTTGATGAACACACTTGTCCTATCCTTCTTGTCATTTTCTGAAAGCAGATCTAGAAGACATGTTAAATGAATGTCTTTAGCTGTGCTGTCATGGCTACCTCAATGTCTTGTTTAAAAATGGTTACTTTTCATGGACATTTTGATGTTGAGGAAAAGCCATAAATTGCACAGTATCAGATCTGGTGAATTAGATGAATGAGGATGTACCGTAATGCTTTTACAAGCTTGCTTTTGTGTTGGATGACACTGGTCTCAGCATCTATAATACTTGTGCTTACCTCTCACAAAGAGGATTCCAAGACTACTTCAGAAAATGCTAAGAACGGTGGAATGACTGTGTTTGAAGTGGGGGGAGAATATTTTGAGTGTGATTAATGACTAGGTGTCTTTTGCTCTATTCTTTTTCAAAGTTAACCACACATTGTGTATTTTGATCAGTCCATGTAACCTCTTTAAAAAGCCTACCTCACATAGAGTCACATTCTGAGGCACTAGGGTTTGGGCTTCTTCACATAATTTGGAGAGTGCGCATAGTTCAGCGCCCAACACTGCCTCATAGAGTCTCTTCAGGTACACTCGATGGAATGCTTGAGAAGTTCTCAGTGTTTTCTATGAGCCAGACAAGGAACTGCAAAGTCACCTGCTTGTGCTAGCAATGGAAAGAGGCTCATTGTACTGTGTGGACTTGGCCTGTGCTGCAGGAGGGAGAGCACAGATGGCGGCCACTGTGTGCAGGGCAGGGCTTGACTTGGCCTAGGCAATTGCCCATCTATCTTCTGCCCTGTGTATGCATAGCCTGTGAGCACATGCTGGCTCTTTTTCACTTAACTATGCTTCTTGTCACCTCAAATGATGGTATTTTTGTGACCTGGAACAACTCTTACCTTTCTTATGCATATTCTTCCAGCTGGTGTTGAGTTTAACATCTGTATGCTGGGTTAAAAGGAAGGAAATGAAACAGTGAATGCTGTTTCCTCTCAGTTGGAGGATGCAGAGGGCAAGGCAGGCAAGGGGTGGGGAGCCTGACTTCACTACCTGCCCTGGGGAACAGCAAAGGAGGAGCTGGGGAGACCAAAACCCAGTGTGAGTCTGTTCTCTGCCCAGAACAGCTCCAGACACCACCCAAATGCCATCATTTCTGTCATCCCTTGGGTCCTCCTAATGCTGATGGCAGTTTTAGGGATAATTATTCACCTTTCCAAGATAGCGTCACTCTCCGCAGTGAGATACCTTGGGAGATGGGGGTATGTGTATCACTGGAGGTGTCTTCTTCAACTTGTCATCCTCTTGCTTCAGCCCTCCAAACTGCTGGAAGTGCCTGGCTCAATATTCTACTTAACAGTACTTGGATGGTGGAAAGAGTAAGCCACATAGACAGTTCCAGAGAGACAGAGAGAAGCAGGCAGAGGTGGCCACAGCACAGCACTGTCACAGAGGAGCATGGAGTTACTCATAACTGCTACCAGAGAAAGTAGAATATGAAAGAAGAGATGTAG